TCCTCCCGCCTGTCCAGCTCACACCTGTACCTTTTCTACTGGGGAATATTTGGCCTCCAAAACCAGTCTTCATTGTCCAAAGACATCCGGTGTACACCCTGGGGCTGTCTCCTGGGCGGGGTCGTGCAGCACCTGGGGCCCAGACCTCTGGTGACGCGGGGCTGTCTGTGTTTGCCTTGTAGGTGTGGGACGCCGTGGACACAGGGCACTGCCTGCAGACCTACCCCCTGCACACCGAGGCCGTGCGGGCTGCCCGCTGGGCCCCCTGTGGCCGGCGCATCCTGAGTGGCGGCTTCGACTTTGCCCTGCACTTAACAGACCTCGAAACAGGTGCGCCTCTCTGGGTCACTCCCCATGCCCCAGGGCCCCAGAGCTGCCCGCTGACCTCCGCGTCCTCGCCGGGAAGTGCCTGGCACACAGTCTCCGGGTGCATCACAGGGGTGTCAGTGGCCCTGCCAGCTGCCTAGGACAGAGCCCTGGGCTGCCCACGTCCCCCTCCTCCTCCTGCGGTGGGACTGGATAAAGAGGCCAAGTTTCCATCAATTTCAGGCCCGTCATTTCTAGAGCGGGGTTTAACTCGGCAGCGCTCACAGAGGCCGAGGGTGCTCTCAGGAGCCAGTGGACGTTCTGCTCCGATGCCTGCGTGCCGCTCCGGGAAGTGGATTCGTGCGGAGCATCCTAAGGGCTCGAGGACAGAGGAGCTGGTGCTGTCTGGGGCTCCTGGGTCAGTTAGGACCCAGTGCCCCCACTTTGCTTCCTGCTCGTCCATGGCCACCTGTCTGTCGGCGCCCTTAGCAGGGCCAGGAGAGGCCGCTGAGTTCTCTGGCTCCAGAAATTCCCTGGAAGCCCCCGTGGGGCTCTGGGTAGGCAGGAAAGGAACCAGGACTCCGGGTTCGACAGGTGCAGCTCTGTGCTGGTGCTTGGAGTAGGCCTGGGGCAGGGCAGTGGTCTGGGAGTCCCTGGGGTGCTGGTGTCCATCTGGCCCACCCTGCTTAGCTCGGAGCCCTGGGGTGTGACCTCCCAGGCCCTCCATGCTCTCTTGCTTGTGTGGGTGTGGGGGGTTGTCACTTGTGAGGACTGGCAGGGGCGGCCTCCTGCCTGTGGCGTGTGCATCGGAGCCTGGTGATCCCCACAGGAGTCCGTGGGGTACATGTCCTCATCTGGTGGATAAGGAGGCCTCTCGGCAGCACATGATCAGCAGGGCAGGTGGGGGACTGGCCTGGCCGGGCCTGCAGGCAGAGACGGAGGGCACGGTGCTTTCTTCCCGGGGTTCTTGGGCCCATGGATTTGCACAGGGCTCACCAGTCCCCAGGCTCAGCGAGTGAGGCGCCTTCTGAGGGTAGACAGACCCCAGATCCTCACCCGCGGAGGGGAGTCCTGCCAGCACTCCAGATTCACACAGGCCCCAGTGACCAGTCAGACGGCAAAGCCACTGCCCACCCGCTCCACTCTACGACTGTGTGTGCCCCAAGGGCCATTCAAACCATCAGGGCCGCAGAGGTGGACCTAACCCTGTCGCATCCAGACATGGTCAAGGTGGTGGCAGAGCAAGACCAGGGACTGTGAGAACATAGCCGTTCCCATGGTGGTCCTCCCATCCAGGCACGGGGCCCCAGTGCCTGCTTTTACCCCTGGACCCACTGGTGCCAGCTGGTGGCCCACCAGGAACATTCCCGGAATCCGGGCTGCCTTTGCCTCTCATCTTCTGATTCTTCAGGTGTTAAACCCACACGCCCCATGTGAGTGTCCGTGTGGACCTGTGTGTGCCTGTGAGTGTGTATTTATGTGAGTGAGAGTCTGCGTGTGCGTATCTGTATTACAGAATGCATATGTGTGTGAGGGTATATATATGAACGAGTGTACAAGTATGCGAGGACCCCTCATGGCATAGTGGTTACAGGTTGGGCTGTGATCCGAAAGGTCCGCTGTTCAAAACCACCAGCTGCTCCTTGGGAGAAAGATGAGGCTTTTTACTCCTCTGAAGAGTTGCCGTCTCAGACACCCACAGGGTAGTCCTGCCCTGATCTGTGGGGCCGCTATGAGTTGGCATCGACTCGATGGCAGTGAGTGTGGTTTTGTGCAATGTGTGTGTGTGTGTGTGTGTGTGTGTGTGTGTGTGAATGAGTGGGTAGATGTGTATTTGGGTGAATATGTGAATTTCTAGGCATGTGGGTCTGTGTGTATGTATGCGATAATGTGAATGTGTGTCTGAGTGTGAGTGGTTATAGGAGTGCGTGCGTATATGTATGGTTGAGGCTGAGTGTGGATGTGAGTGTGTGAGACATTGTGAATGTGTGTAGAGATGTGGGAATTTGTGTGGGTGCATTGTGAGATGGTGTGCGTAGGTATGTGATAATGTGTGTGAATGTGAGTGTGTGCAACGAGTGTGTAAGTGTGCATGAGTGTATGAATGGGTTTGTTCTGAGTGAGTGGGTATGAGAGAGTACAGGTGTGTACATCAGTAGAGGTGTAAGAGTGAGTTAGTGTGTGGGTGTGAGAACATGAAAGTGTGTATTTAGGAGTGTTATTAGTATGTGTGAGTGTGCATGTGTGTGAGTGGGTGTGTAGAAGTGTGGGTGAGTATGACTGCGAAAGTGAACAGGTGCGTGAAAGTAGGTGTGTGAGTGAGTGTGTGTTGGGGTGAGAGTATGCACTGGTATGTGGGTAGGTGTCTTAAGTGTGCGCACATGAGACTGCATAGGTGTTGTGAGTAGGCATGTGTGAGTGTGTGTGTGAGAGAGAGTGCACAGATGCGTGAGCAGGTGTGTGAGTATGTGTGAGTGAGTGTGAAAACGTGCACAGGTTGTGTGTGATAAGCTATTTGAGTGTGTGAGTGGAGATGAGTGAATATATGTGAATGTGAGTGTGTGTGTGTGAGAGTGCACAGTATGTGTGAGTGTGAGAGAGTTCACAGGTGTGTGTGTGAGTGTGGTGTGGAGCCTGGACTTCTCGGATGCCCGTGGGTGCTCCTGGGTGTCTAGTGAGGACTGCAGCAGCAGGGGGCAGTAGGGGACCGCTGCTAGCTAGAGGCAGAGGAGAAGGACAGGCTGGGGCTCCAGGCAGGCCTGCGGGAGCCGAGACAATTGGCAGTGGGAGAGGATGGAGGTGGGGGCCTCAGGGGTCCCGTGGCTGCTGCAGAGGGGCAGGTGGCCCCCTCTCAGGACTGCCCCACTCCCCCTTGGTTGAGGATGTCCCCACACTGCCTGACGGGGAATGGTGTGCCCCTTGGGCACCCAGCACACAGCCCAGTGTCATTCATGCAGCAGTTGCTTGTTGAGCACCTACTGTATGCAATGCCTGGCATGGTGGCGTGCCCTGGGGAGGGCCTGGTCAGGGCCTGGTGCTGGTTTCGTGGTCTCTTTCTTTTAGGTACCAGCCTCAGTCTTCTCTCCTGGGGGAGTGAAGGATGCTTCCCTCCTCTGTGTCCCCATCCTACCCACTCATCCACCCCAGGGCATGGGGGTCCCCGAGTCCCAGCCCAGGCCGTGGTGGGTGCTCGCTTTCCCCAGAGTTGGGGGCAGGTGGGCAGCCTGGCTTCCGGCAACTTCGTGTGGCCTCCTGGTTCCTATGCCCCCAGCCCCGTCCCCTCTGTGTGAGCTGCTTCTCCACCCTCAGTGACGGGGCTTTTTTGTTTCAATCTCATTAGAGCCTCTGCCAGGAGCAGGCAGCGTGGGCGTCCTCCCGGCCCAGGGAATTAGTCACTTGGTGCCCAGCACCCTTAATGGGGACTGGGCGCCAAGGCCATTTATCCTGGCAGCCTCAATCAATACAGTTGAAAATCGGAGGGTTTGCTAGGCAGGCTGAAATATAGAGGGCCAGCCACATTTTATCTCGCTAATTTATAGTTCTGACAGGCTGTTGGCTTATAGAACAGCCATGAATCAACATCTCAGTAAGATTCGCTCACAGAGGAATTATTTTCGGGGTTCAGCCTGTAGTTTTCCTAATGAAACATCACAGGCACCTTAGGCAGGGGGGCCCCCTGGGACCACCCCAGCTTTGCCACCTGTCTGGGCAAAGCTGTCCTGCAGACAGAAGAAGCCAGCATGGCACATCTCACAATCCCCTGAGTTCTGGGGTTCTAGACAGGACTGGTCAGGGGCTGCCCGGTTCACTCTGAGAGTGGGGAGGTCTCTGTTCCCCCGGAGCCCTGGCCAGGCAGGACACTCTGTTGCCTTCCCTGGGCACCTGGAGTAGGGTCCCATGCAGGTTTGTTCCATATCTAGAGCAGCAGCTGGTCTGGGTCTAGACCACTCTCCAAAACTCCCTGCCCTTGAGTCATTTCCAATGTTCAGTGACCCCGTAGACAAAGTAGAGCTGCCCTGTGGGTGGTTTCTGAGCCTGTAAGCCCCCACCTTTCCTTCCCTCCAATTTTAATTTTAACGGTTTTATCGACATATAATTCACAACATATAATTCAATGGTTTAAACATATTAAAGAATTGTGCAATCATTGCTGCAATCAATTTTAGCACATTTTCTTCTTTCTTGGACTCATTATTAATAGCTCCCCATGCCCCCCTCACACTCCCCTGCCGTAACTCTAAGAAATGATTAATCTAGTTATCGGGTCTATAGACTTACCTATTCTGGATTTCATATAAACAGAAACATACAAAAAGCAAAGACAAAAACCCAACAACAAAAAACAAAATAAAACAGAGACAAACCTTCAGAAAAAAACCAAAATAAAACAAAACCAAAAAACCCTCAAGCAGAAACTAATAAAAACCAGGACACATTAAAATGGATCAGAAGCGAGAACAAATTGTCAGGGTGTTCAGTTCACCACCTCTAACCTCACCACGTCTTCACTAATCCACTTTCCGATACACTCCAGCAAGGCGCTTCAGATCCCTGGCCAGTGGTCAGAGGGAGCTCACCAGAGGCTTAGCCTAGGCGGGGACTCTGCCCACGGGTTTTGGGCTTTGTCTGTCACCCATAATGCCTTCTGCAAACTGGGTGCTCAGAAGTTAAGCTCTCATACAGTTCCCTCCTCCGGTCTTGGATTTTATTGTTTATAATCCTCAGATCCCACAGGCTGGTGTGCTTCCTCTGTGTGGATTTAGTTGACACTTCTGTTAGATGGCTGCTTGTCTTAAGCATTTAAGACCCCAGGTGCTATTCTTTGATAGCCAGGCACAGTCTGATGTCTCACTGCATGTTGCTGTCGCACCCACGTCTTTGAGACTGTCTCTCTTTATGGGCGTAGAAAACCTCAGCCTTTCTCCTGTGGAGCAACAGGTAGGGCAGCCCAGTGGGAGCAATCTGAAGGCCCTTTCCACATTTCCACCCACATGACTGCTATCTCTGCCTCTGACCACACCCCC